ATCCTGGGTAGACTGGGAAACACATCCTGGGTAGACTGGAGTAAAGGGGGAAAATGTGTCAATTTATTTTTCATCTCTTTAATGCTTAAATATTATTCCTTTGGCAAAATATGCTGTTTTAAAATGTCTTTTGTTAATCGCTTTATTTATGGGGCTTTTGAAGGTCACTGTGTTCCGTGTGAAAGATATGAGCACTCCAGCACTCAGAACAGCAGAGAATAGAGGAGACAACTAGTCCACAAATGTAAAAATCTGTAAAGCCATAACTCTGTAGTATGTATGAAAGGTGATTTGAAGTGTTTTCAAAGTTTGAAATTAAACAAGTGAAGTATTGCTTTTGTTCTTCTAACATTTGTTTCACTCGATTTGTATGAAACATTTTTAGTAGTATTTTTAAAAGTGGCACTACTATCTATATTTCTATACGTAAATACATCTACATTGTTGTGTGTGTGTGTGTGTGTGTGTGTGTGTGTGTGTGTGTGTGTGTGTAGTTAGAGCACTTGGTTTCTTTCACATTATAAGTCTAAATAAATCTGTGCACTACCTGGCTTTAGACCTTTAGACATATTTAGACATATTTAGTAAGCATGTGCTATGAAAGGAGTTTACCTTATAACTATGATTGTCTTATATAACACTGAAAAAAGAAGTTGCTGATGTACAAAAAAGTGTTACAGTTTTTTTGACTGAGCTGGGGGAGCAAATTACCTTGATTTATGGCCATATCAGGCCTCACCCCACATCGGAAGCCTAATTAAATTCCTGAGTTATTACTGGTTAATTCATCATTCTGCTTTTAAACGATGGCCCATCATGACATGTACATTAACAGGACTCACGTCCTATTCCCTTTTTACAACTAAACGCCTGAATCAAAACAGAAACAACCCTGGATCCGTACTCCTTTTCCTTATGATATATAGCAGAAGGAGAGAAACAGAACTGAAACTATTCTACTTTGACACATTGGCCCCCCAAAGACGATGACAGAGCTGTGTGGAGGCTTACTGTAAGCATCTTGCAATCGGAAAGGACTGCTGGTCATTTGCTGAGAGGAGTTCAAGAGTTTCACTGCTGAGCCGTGAAATGAAAAGTAGCAGCTGATGTAGCACAGAGCCTCCGACCTGTGCTGGGTGGGGGAGGGGGGTCTGACACGTAGCGCTGGAGAGTCAGGCCTGCTTTTGGAAGCAGGATTTCTGCACACATGACTGTATATCACCACAACCATAAGTGTGTGTGTGCACACACACACACAGATATATATATATATATGTACATGAACATTTTCAAACATATATTTACATGTGTGTTAGTGTGTTATTGATCACAGCACACAGTGAGAAACATTTTGTGATTTGTTTGAGGGCTTTTTACAGTCAATGTTTTATTAAGGTCAATATTGCAGTAATGACCAATAACCAATGTATTGTTGTATTGTTTAGCCCTACTCATTCTACTGAAGGGTAAGGAATACACACACACGCATATATATACATATATATATACATACATATATATATATATATATATATATATATATATATATATATATATATATATATATATATATATATATACATATATATGTTTATTTATTTATTTATTTAATTTACTTTACAGACATAACAGCAAAAAGAGCAGAAAAAAGTAGAAAAACAGGAGTTTCCAAAACTTGAGTTCTGAAAGGATGTGCATAGCTGTCAAAAAAGCCACTACTGAGAAAAGGAAATAGACAAAATAAAAAAGAAGAAATCAAATAAAGAAGCTGCTGGTGTTCTCAGAACAATGGACTGACCACCCCACAGTCCAGACTTCAACATCACTAAATGTGTTTGGGATTATTTGGATTATGAAAAGCAGAACCTTCAAGCACCTTCTAAGACTGAAAAATATCAGGGGTGTGGAAAAATATCAGATTTCTTTGAAAAACTGAAAGCAAATCTCCTGAGAGAATGGAAGCTGTAATAGGCAAACAGTGTACACATCAAAAACTGAACAAAGAAGATTATATTTTAGTATACTTAGATTGTAATTTGCTGTTTTCTGCTATGTTAGAGATGCTGTCAGTCATAGTTAAAGTGTATGTGTGCAGTGTTATGTACAGTCAGTTATGTATTGATGTGCACAAAATAAAACAAAATAAAAGTAAATCTAAATAAAAATGTGCCAAGCAGAATGTTCAACCACATTAAACAACCATTTCCCTTTCAACACAAATGACTCGAACAGCACCAAAGCTGAGTTCCAATAGGCCGGGTGTTGAGTCTGTTGCTGTCCATGGTGCTGAAATCTGCTCCACTTGCTCTGCTGAAACTGCAGGATGTTTCCCAAAGCAGGATTTCTTAGTTAGCCAGATAGCTTTAGCTCAAGGTTGAGGATTGTCTTTCAGCTCTTTCCCTATTGGACAGGCTTGACTTTGGGTATAAGTGATCTAGCTAAACTGAGAAGTCCTGCTTTGTGAAATTAGCAGACTTCTTATTCAGATTCTTATTCATTTTGTGTTACCTTCATATCACGATGTGTTACTTTTACTTAAGCAGAGCAGAATTAAAGCGCAGCTGTGTTTGAATCTCTCAGACTCACTCATGCCTGCTTCACATCAACTTCCAGCTCACATTCAGCTCAGCCCACTGCGGACTGCTGATTGGCTGTCATTAGCTCAGCCTGTAGGCACGTTATGCCCAATGGCAACTCCTGATTGGACGCTTGCAGCACGAGCACAGATGGGCTCTCCAATGGCATGCTGAGCTGTGTGCCTCGGGGGAGGGGCTGAAGAGAGAAGGGGGAGGGGAGAAGAATGTCAGCTTGAAGAAGAAGAGGAAGAAAAAGAAGAAGAATGTATTTTGAACCTGATTGTTATTCGTGCCTCATTGTTGCCTGGATTTGTTAGGGAAAGTAATGCATTTGGAATAAGTAATGCTCGGAAATGAGAATAATAGAGTTTTAGAACACTATGCACTTCATTGAGGGCAGATGAAAGACAATACTGTTGGACTGACTTTAAAAAACAAAGGTAAACACATTTATCCACTGTACTGTTATGCACAATAGCTTTCCAGCCTACACTGAGAAACATAATGGACTGGATTTGTTTGATTTAAATGTGTATCATCATTCCCACACGACGAAAGTATATTACATTAACACAAGGACTGCCAAAAGTAAATAAACTAAAAGATGATCTATAATGTACACATTTGATCCAAGTAAATTCAATGCATTAATTTCTCTGCATACAGATGACAGTTAAAAATAAATATTAATATTTAAACAGGCCTGTGACAAATTAAAGTAGCCCAACTCAAAGAAACAGAAAGAACAAAATGAAAACAAAGTTTCTTAGACGCCACAGAATAGTATATGATGAAGGTTCACCCTCTGAAGTGTGATGTAACAGACTGTGTTGATAAAAGTTAAGGCACTGGGATGCATATATTTGCATCTTAATAGCTGGAGGGGAATCGTGTTAATTTAGGCTTGGAGGTGGGGAATACTGAGGACAAAAGTAATGAACAGCCCCAAGGACAGTGGGCTGCAGGAGAGGGGGGAGGTTGTCTCCCCACAAACCTAATCCGCCTAAAAAATGGTTCAGACAGGCCATTGTGCACCACTTACTGCCCATATTGATAGCTGATGCATAACTTATTCACTCGGACCACTCCTGCTTGCTGTGCATTAGCCAAAGGAATGATAAGACTACTTAAGCAGATGGGCCTAAACCCAAATCAAAATGCACAATGGGGGTATAAGGTGACCCATATTTTACATGTCAATGCAGAAAGTAATAACATCAGAACTGTTACTAACACACCAGAACAGCAGAGACGGCCACAAAATATCCGGTGCGAAAGGCAGAAGTCTGCTAGTCTGAAAATGAAACATTTCAATGGGAGATTCTTCCAAACAAGCCTTTTATTTGCATGGATGGTGAGCTAACATTCATCTGCAGATTCACTGAGGCCTTTAAAGTGAAGGTTGCGTGTGTCTAAGCCAGTAACAGCTTTATAGATCTATTTTTTTTTTTTTACAAATCCCAGTTTTTAAAGTTTGCGTAAAAATATTTATTTATTTATGTATTTGTATCTTTGTTTGTAAAAACAATAATAAGAAAACTTCCATTGGTAGAACTCTTTTGCGATCATAAACGCTAAATTAGGCATGGACTTCAATATGAAATATTTATTTATTTATTTACTTATTTACTTACTTACTCACTTGGTTGTTTGTGTTGAATAGTGATAAGAAAAAATCAGTTGTTGGACTTTTGCATAATGAATATAAATTTTAATTTGAGCATAGAGTAAAACATGGAGTGATTATTGATTTACCTACTTATTTGTACAATAAGAAAAAATCAATAATAGCACTCTTGTTGGATAATCATAAATGCTAAATCAGGCACAGGCTACGAAAATGGGTTATTTATTTATTTAATTATTTACTTGCTTAATTGTGGCAAATAGGAACAAGAAATAATAAAATAAATAAAATATAATAAAATAAAGGTAGGACTCTTATAAGACAATCGTGCTCTAAATTAGGCATAAAGTGCAGTATTTATGTATTTATTTATTGGCTTATTTGTACTTAAAAGGAATACGAAAAATTCCAATACTAGGACACTTGTAGGACAAGCACAAATGCTAAATTAGGCCTGGACTAAAATATGGAGTGTTTGTTTGTTAATGTATATGTTTGTTTAAGCTTAGTAAATATGAAATAATAATTACAACCCGAGGCATAAATCTTGTTAGAATGAACAGAAATGCAAAAGTTTGTTTTTCCTCATTACAAAAACTGTTCCACTCATTTAGCTTGAGCTGAAGCGGTCAATACAGAGTTGTCGTTCTTTTTCTAACATTATTTATCTACGCTGTCCGCCTGCACTGCTGAGAGCGCGTGACTGAGCGTATGATCGCGTGTGTGTACATACATCTGTGTATCTGTATGTCAGTGTGCATATGTGTGTGAGTGTGTGTGTGTGTGTGTGTGTGTGTATGTGTGTGTGTGTGAGTGAAAGAGAGAGAGAGAGACAGAGAGAGAGAGAAAGAGAGAGTTAGTCCGTTCTGCTCCTCTTTCACTGCTCCATCCGGGAACTTCCGAATTAGCATTGACAACCGAAGCGCAACTTTTTCCCCAGGCAAAGTGAAATCAAGCCGCGGACTCGGACAAAAAATATAGTTCCTCCCCCTCTTCCACTCCTTTTCGAACTCAAAATTAGCGAAAGAAAACCCCCCATCGTGGCTGCATAACGGATACGCCTTCAGCTCGCTGTTTGGGCAGTGGATGTGAGCCCTTTTCGTCGTCTTTGAAGCACTTTTGCGGTTTTTGTGTGTGTGTGTGCTGCTCTGCCGTGGAAGTGAGTGAGTGATGAGTCTCGTAGCCAGTAAAGAAGCGAGAACTTGCTCAGCAGCCTGAGTAGTTCATTTCTTTCGATTGTTATTATCGCTTTTTTTGTCCAAAAAATCACCTTTTTGCACGTAAACTTCACCCTGGTCGCATCGAAAGTGGAAGAAAAGTGATTTTGAAGTCGAAGCATGGAACTACAAGGCCTTCAAGAGGCGTTGAAAGTAGAAATCCAATGTCATCAGGTAACGTAAACGAAACATCGCTGGCTGTTGTTGTTCGACCGTTAACTGCGACCGTTAACTGCATCTGTGGGTTTTGCTTGAAGAATCATGCGTGATTAAACACTGTGGGTGACAAAAGCTGAAGAAAATAAGTGCTGTAGCCGCTAACAAACACTGTACTTCACTGTCGGCTTGACGCCATGACATGCAGTTTGAGTTGGAGCTTGTTAATGCACTTTTTCTCTATTAAACTGTACTTTGGTGGCTGTGCTGCAGTGACGGTTTGGCTTTAGCAGCTCTAAATAGCTAATGCGGTGGTTTTGTGTAGCGATCAGGACGAGACTTGAATATTTATGAGGTGCTCACAGCTTTGCTCGCCGCTTTGTTCCTGCTAGTAACTTGAAACAGACTTTTTTCTTGGTGGTCCATCTTTTGGTTGTGTTTTTCTCCGTTTTAGAAACTAGTTGCACAGATGAAGACAGACCCACAGGTAAATGTAACGTTAGCCTACGTTAAATGTGCCTGTGTGAATCGTCTCAGTCGTGCACAGAATAAGGCATTTGTGTGTGTGAGAGAGAGACTTAAACTTCAGCAGCATAAATCTCGTCTTGTTTTCTTTTATCCGACTTTTGTCCTCTGTGACTTTGCTGGAGAAAAGAAAACAAGGTAGTTCAACTTTTGGCACTAGTCTAACGTTACTGGGAATTTGCTCGTTTCTTATTTTGGTTCGTTTTTTTTTCTTTTGAACTATCTACTTATGCTGATCATTCTGTTCAATTGTAGGATGGAGAGCTTAAGAAACAACTACACGAAAGGCAAAGCAGAATAACAGCCCTAAGCGAAAAACAAGTAAGGAACCCCTGCCTATTTCCTCAATAAGTGAAATGATCAGCGATGATTTTTATTGTCATGTCGAGACGTAGGTTAACGTTAACGTTAGCTAGCTTGTGTGTTTATAGCAGTCTGGCGCGGTTCAAAACTGACCTCGTACAAAAAATGAGGGTTTTAAAAGTGTTGGAATTCATCGTGGTGTTCAGTTTGAGGAAAGTCATCCGAACAGATGCTTCAGCTAACATGTGGATGGGCTACTCTTAAGTTGTGTAACATGAAAATGTTGAAAAATTTAGCGTCCATTTTGAGTGGGTCGACATGTTTCTGGAGTGAGAGAGTGAGAGAGAGAGAGAGAGAGTGATAGTGAAGGGCTGCTCTCAAGTATCCGGCGTTCACTTTTTCCCTTCTCTTTTTTTATACGTCTCTAAAAGTGTTGGAATACGACAGCGAGCTGTGTTAAATATGAACTTAACCTAAACCCGAGTGTACTTAGTTCATACTTTAATGTCAGTCTTTGGGGGGGATTATTATTATTATTCTCTCCACTTGGTCACATGACGACGTGGTAGCGTTTGATTCGAGCTCTGCGAGAAGACTTTCACTTTTTTTCCTTTTACGATGGTGAATCAAACCGGGTTAACTTTGGGGTTTTTCCTCATGTTTTTTATGGATATTTGTCGGTCAAAGTGGCTAGATATGGAACTAGTTTTTCCTAAGCACTATAATGCTTATGAGGCTGAAGTCAGCTTCTTACTCGCCAGCTTCTTGTTCGAATTTTCCCGTTCCACCTTAAATAGTGCAGCAGTTACATTCTGACGCCTCGGGCTGTAAAAGAACTGCTGCACCGTTTAAGGTGGAACGGGGAAATTCGAACAAGAAGCTCGTATAATGCTTCATGTCACCATCCGCCTCGGTTTTCTGAAGTTGCCTCGTCTGCAACAGGGAACATGGTGGGGTGAAGTGCAGTATAATCCCCAAAAATGTCGAAATATTATATATGTCTTCGTCTGTTTTACTCTTTGAGGCGTTTTTGTTGCTCTAAGTTCAATCGATGTCCGTGTTTCCTTCGGAATGCAGTTTTCAGCACTTGGAACAGCGCCTTGGTGTGTTTTTTATTATTTATTTTTTTATTTTTTTGCCCTCTGCAATTAAACGTGTTTCAAATTCCGAACGAAACTGATCTGAACCGAGACTGACCCATAAAGACAGCGTGTGTGAGCCTGTTTGTGTTTTGGAGAGTAATAGGTTGGCGTGTTTCGCTATTTTTGTTGTAATGTTTCTGTAAAAGCTTCTTCAGTTTGATAGTGGAAGCTTCCATTTTGTGAGAGAAGGGGTGTTGGTTTCTTTCCTAACATGGAGAGAAAAAAAAAGTCTGCAGAGTTTGGCGGTGGGGGATGGGGTCTCATTCATGCCCAACATTACCATTTTGATTGCTTTGATGCTGTTTTTGGAGGAGGAGGAGGAGGAGGACGAGGGGGGAGGGCAGGGGGGAAAAGGCAGAAGAGGAAAAAGGCGAGTCAGCACAGCATAGGGGGGATGTTTTACTAGAGAACACATCCAGCTTAAAGATGACCTCCACTTCCATCGACTCTCCTCTTTCACACGACGGAGGAAGTTGTTTTCCACTCCCGAGCATCAGTACATGGACATGTTTACCTCCATGAACACGTTTTAAGCTTAACACGTGAAGAACAGTCATGACTTTTTGTTGCCCTGATGAAACAGAGCAGCCGTGTGCATCACAAGACGTCGTCAGCGAACTGATGCAAACCACTTTAGAAATGTTTTGATAAGCTAAGGCTGGTTATACATACAAGTGCTGTATAATAAGTGGTTGGGCTAAGAAATTGACTTTTTCATAGGGGTACATTTCCTTTTAAATATGACAAGGTTGTCAAGGTCATTTCAAGAGGTGGACGATGTTGCAAAATGGCACATCACAATACTTAAGGAAGTTTTTACGATACATGATGTGACACAATATTTATTTTTTCTGAAATCTGACAAGTTACAACAGACAAATTAAGCCCATACCATCAAAAACTATGAATTCATTTATTTGTATTCAACATTTTACACTCTGCTATGCTAAGTCCAATTAAACAGGTCTAATTATGCTCTCTTTGTAATCAAACATGTAGTCGGTAAGTGGTTTTTAAGTATTGACGATATCTGCGATATCCTTAGAAAAACATGTGATATATTGTGATGTAATTTGTCACGATAACTATAATATTGTAATATTGCCCAGCTCTATTCATTTCACAGGTCATTGAGTTTGATTAGGAGTTATGAAGATGATGTCATGATGCTGTGCAAGCAGGTGATTTCTCTGCTATATATTCGTTTGGTGGTTCAGACATATTGCTATTATAGATTGTAACCTGTCAGGACAAGTTGGCTCATCAAAAATGAAACCTTGTTTCCAAGCTTATTTTCAGTTTCCAATGCTAGAATAAGACAGAATAAGAAAGCAGCTTGATAATCTTGAGAAATGTAGTTGTGTTGAACATCGTGGAATAGAAAATAATACTTATTTATTTGAAGATTACACTATATTTGAAGAACATTATATTTGAGAAGAGCCAGTGAAGATAGATATGAAGTATAAATACATGTAATAAATATAATATAATCATCAGTTACTTTGCTGGTCCACTGTGTATGATGCTTATGAGTCTTGAACAGTAAACAGTGTGTTTGCTACTTTATTTCAATCCAAACAAGTCTAAAATAAGATCAGTGGCAGAAATCAGATGTTTGAGGGTGTCGCTCATTTTTAGCATTCATGCTCCCAAACAATCTTTGAAATACTGTGAACTCACAGTGGGAAGAGCTTAATTTCCTCTTAACAACCGTTAGTATTGATTTCAAGTTAAACTTGTTGAAGTAAGATCTTATTTATTGTTTTGTGATTTTGAATTATGGTTGTTTTTCAGTTACATGACATACGTATGTATGCAAATAATATAGCTATATTACATTTAGTATATTAGAAGATCAAGCCAGACCATGTAAAAATCATCAGCCAATAAAATAATAATTTATACATATTAATTCTTAAATGTTTCCTGTTTACATAGTCTTGTATTCCCCCTTGGGCCAAGAAACTAATGTTGCACTTTTTTCCCACTTACCAGTGTAATGAAATATCTCTGCAATGTGGAAAAATGGAGGGATATAGTTACATGTTTTGATTAAAAAACATGTTAATGAAGCATTTTTTTTTCTTTTTTTGTACTCTGGAACGCTTGCTCCTTGTTGCATCACTGAAACAAAGTTGCAGAAAGTGTTGAACTCAGTCAGATTTCAGGTGCTTTTTTACCCAACTGTGACTTCGTTCTTTCCTCTCAACTTTGGACTGGAGCACCGCTTGGTTGTCTTTAGCTCTCAAGTGTGCAGTAAACAGATTTAATTGCATTGTTTTTTGTGAAATCTGTTGACCTATGTCTGTTTGCATTGTTTTCCCGTGTAGTTACTCAATAATAAGATGTGATGCAATAAATATGAGAATTTAAGGGGTTTAACCTCTTAAACTCTAAGGGAACCATTTGTGGGTCCACAGTTTGTGGGTTCAGTTCTCATTAATAGATGATACATTATTGTTTCATTATAGATACAGAATATTTTTAGTAGATGCTGAATAATAAGAATAATAACTGAACAGCAAGTTTAGATTTTAATGATTTAATAAAGCAGCATTAAAGTTGAAGGTATAAAAACAAGTCAATGTAAATACTAGAATTTGTTTTGGTCCTGGATGTATTTCATAGTGGAACTGAAAAAAGTCGTTGGGAAACATGGATGGACAGCTAAGTCAGAAGTAAATGCAAAGAACCAGAGAAGAAGGCATATAAAGTAGGACAAAGGAGGAGAGAGAGGTGACTAGAGAGAGAAGGGGGGTTGTCTAAAGAGGGGATACAGAGGAGAGAGATGGGAGGCAATAAAAAAGTGTCTCCGTCTAATCTACAAAACCAGAGGCAATAAAAGAAGGAGTAGTAATACAAATTTACAAGGTAGAAGTGTGTTTTTGTAAATGTACAGCGAGATTGTGTGTCTAAGGAATGGACAAGTGAGTGAATAACCAAGTTGGCTTATATCTTTTTGCTTGACAGCAATTCAGCATCCTTTCAGGAGCAATTTGCTTGGATCTGTGTTCTAAGCTGAAGGCAGCCTAGCTCTTGAAAGCACCTGATTGGCCATTTTCACCTGTAGCAGCTCTTGCTAGGCAGTCTGTGATTGGTCAGATTGAGCCCATGGGCAAGCAGAGCTGGGCCTGAGGGTACCCTCCTGTGTCTCTGTGCCAAAACCAGTCTAGTGCAGTTGCGTGTGGCTGATGGTTGGCGTTTTGCACAAATACTGTATTAGTGTTATCTCATCATGTTAGGCTTGAGGCCTTCCGTCTTTAAAGCAAACCAAAGAGAACACAAAGGTCTTTTGAAGCTTCTTAGCTTGCCTAGTTGTTCTTCCACATATCCATGAGTATGTATTTCCCCTTTTTTTTGCTTTAAGTAATGCTTTACCTGAAGTCAGAGCACCAGAAAAGACTCCTTTTTTTGAGAAATTAGTAAACCAGCGCTTGCTGTCCCATTAGGCTAGTATCCCTAGTCATTGTGTTTTTGTTGGGAAGAATTTGAATCTGCAATTTTGTTTCATCTTGCTGTTTCATCTTGCTAGAAGTTAGTTTGGCAGGTTCTGACCAGTGCTGCATGATACGGACGAAATGCTGTGTTGTGATTATATTAATATATAATGCAGTTGTGATAGGCCTTGCAAAAAATTTTAAACACATTGTCTCGCATTGTTTTGACCAGAATTATTTATCTTTGTTGGATCACTTGAATGCTCTGATTCATTAGAACATCTACAGAAACGTATGTGGAACATCTGAAGTTGGCCAGAATGCTCATAGCACATAACTGTGATATAGTTCAAAGGGTAATATATATTAAATATATTGTGCAGACGTACAACCCAGTGAGAACACAAAGGGCCTTCAGGGCTTTTTAGATACCCTT